TCCTGCTGTCCAATTTTTAACTTCAATTCAAATTTCAATTTTAGTCAAATTTAAATCAATTTCAATTTCAAATTGAACAACTTATCAAATAAGTTAATTGGATAACTATGGAGTAAGCAATTTGAATCCCAAAGGGATTCATACTGTGTTGTGCGTTCACACTATGCAAACACTTTCACATGTGTGTTTCAAATTTTAAATTTAAAATTAAGCTTAAATAATCACATTATTTAATTTATATTTAATTCTCAAGTAATTATCCTTGAGTGTTTTATTTTAGAATTTTATAATTTTAAAATTCTCATTTTGTCCTTAGTGTCTTGTAGAATTACAAGGATGACGTGGGGACTTGTGGACCTATAATTTTGAGCTCTAATAAAATTAATAATTAATTAAATACTTTAATTAATTAATTAATTCTATTAATTCTAATAGTTACTCCACTATAAACTTGGAATTGCACTCTCTTAATTATAGACATAAATTACTTCTAAACTGTGAAGTGTCCATTTGATATGTTCATTGCATATTGATCAATCCTTCATAAACAATTCATAATTAGAGCTAGGTGAAATCCATTAACCTCTCTAATTACATATTAATTCTTGAGTATCATTGGTTCTCTAATGGAGAGTGATTCATAAAACAAATTCATGAATCGAAGCTCCTACTGGTCCAAGTACTGAATCAACCCTCAAGAGAATTATTTATCTACTTCTTTCTCAAGAAGGAATGGATTCTATCTCGTGTAATAACATTCCCGACTACCTATTTCATTATGTCTCTAAAATGCAAGGAATAAAATTCAGGATCTCAGAATCCGTACCAAGTAAATCAAAATACACAAATTCATAAATACGGGTCTGCTAAGAACTTAGGATTAAGATCGTTACATATATGACCATCGATAGTATCAATTAGAATTTTTATACTTAATGAAAATTATCAAAAATTCATATTGTGTTTGTGTCCCTGTTTCACATGATCTCATTATGTGAAATACACACATTCAATATCTTACCATATTAACCGTGCGGATAACACTGTTTCATTCTAAATGGGAATGACATGTATTAATAATGTTTTAATTACATATTCTGAACTTTAATTAAATTCATTATGATCATCGTCGTTTTGATTATTATCCTTAAATATTATCCTCTTGCATATAACACTTGTATACAATGTTTAAGATCACATAAATAATCATAAAATTTTCATTGATATTCATAAATATATGCACATAAAATAATGAATAAACTCTTTTATTAAATAAATAATACATATTTTATTACATCTCATACATTTAGAACACTAATCCCAACATAATCAATAGACAGCAAAAAATAAAATATGTATTATACAAAATTGTAGCAGGAGAAAAACACGTGTCGAAGGAAAATATAAACACGATAACATAGTAACAACTCTCTAAAAACTGAAAGAAAAAACCATATAAAAAAAAAACTGCCCAGAAGATTAAAGAACAAAATTCTACAAATGGTACAAAAATGTAAAAAATTACATCAATTAATAATATTACAAATAAAGACCAGAATAAGAAAAAAATGAAAAAAAAAATGGATGTTTATCCCAAAAAATAGAACAAAAACAAATCACCCACCAAAGAAACAATATAAATGCATAAATATAATTTTTTCCTTAAATTTCCAACATAAAATCCCTAAATTTAGAAATAAGATAAAAAAGAGGAAAAAAATGATAAAAAATAACCAAAAAAAGGAGAGAGAAGGAAAAAGTTCTCTGAAGAAAAAGAAAGAAAAAACTGAAAAAACCAATAAAAAAGCCCAACAATAACGGCAAAAAAATATACAAAATTTATGTACCTTATTATCATGAAAAACCTCCAAAGCATCAAAATTTCAATGGCTGATGCAAAAACATCGAGAAAGGAAGCATAAGACCGAAAGAAAAAGAAAAGACCAGAAGCCAAAGGAACAAAAACTTTCAAGATTATGACAGCTGTTTGGGAGAAGAGAGGAAAAAAAAGAAAATGGCCAGCTGGACTCCACAACGCACGGGGAGAACAAATTTTAAGGGCATAACCATCTACGCACTGTTGACGAAAAAATCACACACAAATATAAGGACAAAAAAGACCGCACACTATTTAAAGAACAGTAACATCACTACCTACCTTAATATTATAGTATCGTGTGGTTTTAATGATCATTCTCATTTTATCTATTAATAAGTATTATTATTTTAATCATAACATATAAATAATTGTGATAAATTATATAATTGACTATAAAAAATTATGATAATTAATAAAAAAATTCTTATTATATCACGTCGTTAAATTTTTATATTTAATAATAACTACTTAGAGGTCGAAGAACTTCAAGTTCTTTAAGAAAAGTACTCAAAATGAAAGAAAGTCGTGATAAACGTGGGTGTTTTCTGGTGAGGAGTAGTGAAGTAGTAGTCCCAAGGTGTGAGAGAAGAAGAGTATTTAATGAGAAGATGGAGGCATTTTTACGGTTGCTCTTAAACGTCCGTACGGTGTGTTCTGATACCTGCACACTCAATACCGTTTGGAACGGTCATCAATTGCCTTTTTGAGTTTGACAAAGAGACTCATTGAAAATAGATAAGAAAGTTCCGGAAACTTATAAATATTTTTTAAAATTATCTTATTTTTTATTTCTTTTTCAATTTTTTAAGGGAAAAAACTAAAAATACTATTAAAAGTGGTAAAAAAAATATTATTTACACTGCTCTATTAAAAAAATACAATTGTCATTAATTAATTAAAAGATTTTATGACACTTAATTATTTAAAATGATATAAATAATAGGCTTATACAAAAACATGATAAAATTTGTACTTTTCTCTTTTTTCTTAAGTAATTTAAATCATTTTTACATATTTAAATTATAATTACAAATGTGACATGTCACGTTAGTAAATTCATTAAGATTGACGTTTTGGTTCATGGATTCATAATTATGATTTAAAATTATTCTCAATTTACGTATATTTTTTGTAAAGAAAAATACTGTAACGAATCACGAACCAACACAAATCATAATATGAATTCTCATACTAAACACCCTCAAAAGAATACAGCAGAAATGGCCTCTTTAGGCCCCCAATTGTCTTCTCAAAATACCTTTTCTTTATTTAATATGTTATTCATTATGTTTTCTTGAATATGTCCCTGTTAGAATATTTAAACATTTTTTTCACGCGTCCTTTTCTACTTTTTTTTTCCCTCATATGTCCCGCTTAATTAACTTTGTCTTTCATTTACTCACTTAAATATTTTGCTTTTATACATGTTCTAATTATCTATAAATATATGATGTTCAACAAAAACAAGCATTTTGATTGGAAAATGTATAAATCTTTTTAATATATACATGGACGAGTTTTCAAAAATGGCCGCACTTCTTTAAAATTAGTTAAATGGCCGACTGGCCGTTTTAGCCGCCTTGTGCAGTGGTCGGGGCGAAGAAGAAGATTGGAGTCGTCGTCGTTGTTACAATTGCAGGTGGGAAGAAAAAAAGGGAGGAGAGAGAGGGAGAGATCTCGTGGGAACCCTTTCTTCAGGCGGTTAGCCATTTTTTCCTGTGGTAGAGAGAGAAAGGATAGGAGAAGATATAGAAGTGAGAAAGAGAGGAAAATGAATTCACTACAGCAGCTTATTATCAGATCTTCCTGTCCGAGGCAAGTTAATGTGGCTTATTGATTGAGATAAGAGGATCGAAGAGGAGATGATGGAGCAATCTTGCCTGAAGAACGAAAAAACTAGTGATTGATCGGAGTCGATCACTGATTGACCGACTTTGTAAGCGGTGGTGGGGAGGCTGGCGTAGTTCATCTCCAACGACATGCCAGCAATTAGCAAAGATCTGCTACCTTGTCAGCAGTTTGCCCGTGATTCCTCGTCGATGTTGCAGACCCAGGCTGAGAGAAAAATGAAAAGGGGAATAAGAACGTTAATATTTTCGGCCATTTTTTAAAGGGAGAAGGTAATAAATAACATATTTTTAAAAATAAATTAAGTAAACAACATATTTTAAAATTATTTGAAATAAATAATAATTTATGTGGTAAATATAGTTTATTTATGGCTAGTAATAACATATTTTTCATGTAAAATTCATTTTACGATTAGTGAAAATAATTTTTCTATATAAATAATGATTTTTAAGATTTTTTACCACATCAGTTATTTTTTATCGGTCATAAATATTTTACCGATTAGCCTGGATATGCTACCTTGTCGTGTTGGTTTGCCCGTGATTCCTTGTCGATGTTGCAAACCCAGGCCGAGAGAAAAATGAAAAGGGGAAGAAGAATGTGAATATTTTCGGCCATTTATCTAAAAGAAAACGTAATAAATAACATATTTTTAAAAATAAATTAAGTAAATAACATATTTTAAAATTATTTGAAATAAATAATAATTTCTATGGTAAAGAACCACTTACGCGGTAAATAGGTCATTTGCGGCTAGTAATAACATATTTTTTATGTAAAATTTCATTTTACGATTAATAAAAAGAATTTTTTATATAAATAATAATTTTTTAATATTTTTTACCACATAAAGTATTTTTTACCGGTCATAAATTTACCACTTAAATTATTATTTCTTTTAAATAATTTTAAAAATATACTATTTACTTAATTTATTTGTAAAAATATACTATTTACTATAATTTTTCCTTATCTAAATATTAAAAAGTTGTGGTCAAGTATTGACTGGGTGTAGATTCGGCTACCCAGCCCAATTTCCCATTATAGACATTTGGACAAACGGGATGTTTTGGACGGTTTTATAGACTAGAGGACGTTTTGTACGATTATTAGAAAAATTAGGGGTCATTTTGGAAAATGCTCCATACTTTTTTGTTCATTTAGGGCCACTGTCTCTCTCTTCGCGGAAGCACAGCCGAAGCTTTCTTTCCTTGGCTTCCCCACCGAACCCTCCTCTGAGTAGAAAGCCAATTTTTCAGACATCTTACTTTTAAGGTATGGTTTTCTCTCTAGAATAATCTTAATCCGAGATTTCCCTTATTGAATTCGTGTTTTTCTTCTTGATTTTCAATTCTAACTGCGATGAAATCTCTCGAATATTTATGCTATAAAGATTTTTGCCTTTTCCAATTACCAGTACTAAGCAGCTTGATACTAGAACTGTCGTTATTTCGTCAGATTGTTTTCTTGATTCATTGAAATTGAAATGCAATTCCCATATTTATTTCACTTTTTTTTTTCTGATTTTTGGTACGAATGCTTCCATTTTTGATGATGATCTAGGAATGTGTATGTAAATGTGATTGCAGAGAGATGAAGGACGAGAAGAAGGTATTGTCGGCGGAGGCGGCGACGGCGTTGAGCGAAGGCATTGTTCTGGTTCTGTCCCGGTGGTCTGCGCTCCAATTGGCCGTCGATAACGAGTGGGGCGGTCGGAGTTCTCGCCTGAAAGCCGACCAGATTCACTCCGATGTCTTGTCCTGGTTCACTCACTCTTCTTCTGGTACTTCCTGTTTTTCTCTTTCTAAAATTCCATTTTGTTCTTCTTTGGAAAATGTTTATTCTATTCCAGTGTTTAGAAAGAACCCTTTTTTTAGGACATGAAATGATGAATCTGCCATTACAGTCTATGGACATAATCAAATGAAAAAAAGAAAAAAAAAAAAAAAAAACATAAAATCCATTTTTTAAATGAAAAACAAAACTGAACTCGAAAACGGAAACCAAAACAGAACAAATTTATATTCATCGCTCTTCGAATTTTATGTTTTTTTTTTTTCCTTAATGGACAAATGCAGAACCATTATTTCATGTCTCAAACAACAAGTTCAAGGTAGTAGATACTTTTTTTTTTAAATACTAAGATAATGAGATTTTCCAAATACTGAGGTTCCAACTTGATAAAATTTAAAACTAGAAGGTACCATAATTATATTTTTATTTCTTTATTTTAAGAAAATGATATGAATTTTAGCTACTTCTTGATTTATATTGGCTGTTTGTTCAGAGGATCTTTACATAGATGATTTAGAAAACAAGCTTGAAGAAGGCTTGCTTTCTCTCAATACTATGGTTGACGATGGCAGCATTGAGGAGGTATGAATTTCTTATTTAACATTAAACAAGAGAAATTAGAGAATACTTTTTCGATTTGAGGTTCTTACATAAACATTGACAAGAAAAGGATATTAAAGTAATTGGGCAACCACTAAAATAGGAAGTTAGAAACTAAGGTGATGTTTGATAAGAGGGAAAGAAGGTAAGGAGGAAAGAAGGAGGCCATATAACAAGGAAAATATAGAGGGAGATCAACAATTCAAGTTCAAATATATGTCATAAACTTATTTTAAAAACATAAGTTTAGTGGATGGGTTGGGTATATGATGGGTTGCTAAAAACCGCCCACCCAATGAAAAGTCAGGTTGGGTGACTTAAACCAAACTTGTGGTTGCCTTAAACCTGGGTAAGTCTGGTTATTGGGTTTTTGTTCGCCCTACTTTTTCTTATTGTGGCTGGTATGGATTATCTCCTACAACCTCTTTCACATTTGAAGAGATTAAAACTGGATTATGTTGAAGGATTTGAAATCTCCAACCAATCCATTCCGTCCGCTTTTCTCTGCAACCATGGGCACCAAAATTCTTCAATGTCACCCCTCTCCCTCCTCCCACTTTTTCCTCGTACAGACAAGCTCTAAAAGAACGGGAAACTTGGCTTAGCTTAGGGCTACGTTATTACATGACTATGATTCAATGTTTATTCAGCATTTCCTTTTTTTTTTTTTTAAATTTATTTTAAGCTGCTTTATTGATGGAGAACTTGTATTAGGCTTTTATTTTTTTTCATTTTAAATTGGCCCCTAAAGCTTTTTCTCTTGGTCTTTGCAGATAGCCGAAAAATTAATGATTATGCATGAAGAGTGTATGGATGGTAATTTTACGTCCATTGAAGCTCTTCGGGAGTCTAATCATCGGAGGGTCCCTGTTTCTCATGTCAGACAGGTAATTTGTAGTTAAAATTCTTAGATTGCAAAGTTTAATAGTTTTCCTTTTCCCCCCTACTGCTGTATCTTCCCGTGAACTTGTTTCACATGCTATTGATAATACGGTCCCCGACTCCCCTTAACATATAGATGATATTTAAAATGAGATACAATGAAATCGATATACATATGCACATTTGTCTTGCGTTGCTGAAGAGGACTAAATTTTGTGGTAATTCAATCACTTTCCAACTTGCAACGATCCCATCCTAGTCATGCAAAGTGTCTATTTAAACTGTTGGTCCGTATTATGAGGCTGAGGCTCAAAGGGAAGGAATAATTTGATAGGTAGAATCCACCTAATACTTGATGTCATAATATCATATGAACTTATAGTAGGTCACTTGAGTTATCTCTGTCTCAATACGCAACATGTTAGATTATTTGATGGCAAGCAAGGATTAATGGTGGACTACTTTTCTTGCCAACTTTAATATCCAAGCCATGAGTTGTAGTTGTTGCCAACGTTCAATAATTCAGAAAGTCAAAATGGTAATATTTTACAAGTGTTTGTTTTTTTTGCTTGCCAATTGTTATCAGGTAAATGACGACGACGATGACGACGACGAGAACATGGACGAGAGACCTGATAGCATTAGGAACGATGGCTCACCAAAAATGACAGTTGGATCATCAAAACCCGTGTCAAATTCGAATTCAGAACACATGGTAGTAGACGAGCCGGAGCCTGGGCCCTCCGCTGAAGTGGAAGACGGATGGGTTGTTGTTGGAACAAGAAGGGGTAGGGGGAAAAAGAACTAGACTGAACCCCTGTGTTTATCTGCAGTTTTTCCATTCTAGTTAGTTTTTAATTCGGTTTTGGTTTAAGAGTTGTCACTGAGGTAGAGCAAGTACATAAGTGTGACAAAATTACATTTTGAGATTTGCATCATTTTTCCTTTCGCAGTACCCTGAAGGATATGTTTAAGGGTAAAATACATTACCCACAATGATAAAATTTCAAATTGTGAGGTCTGTTTTATCGACAGTATTAGAGGTTCTGTTTCCAGAAGTTCAAGTTTAGTCATTTCTTTTGTGGGGGTAAATTACAGAAACATTTGATATATGCGTAGAGAAAGGTTTTTTTCTTTTTTTTTTTTTTTTTTTTGCCTGAATAAAAGGTAGTTTATTTTCTTGAATTGGTTCGGTTACTACCGAGAAAATTGTGAGCAGTAAAATGTATTCCCTTTGCCCTACATTTTCTCAAGCTTGCAGAAGAGAGGAAACGAGCGTACTACAACAAATTTCTTGAACTCTACAATCTCAATCCATCAATTTTTTTTGTAGCTGCAAAAAAAATCTTATTCGAGCAAAGATAAAGCTCTCTTTCGTTTCTCATTGCTATCAGTAAACGATTGACCAAATTATAGAAGGCGCGGAAATTATAAGTATTTATTCATCTAAAAACAAAGTAATAAATAACAGAAATGGCCAATCCCTGATGTCATCATTGGTGGTGTTAATAAAAGGTGGAGTTAATAAAGCTCTCTTTCCTTTCGCATGCTGGCTGGTATTATAGTGGTTACCGGTCGGTAACCAGCTGGTATCATGGTGGTTGCCATCTAGTCATGTAAAGAAGTTGTCCCTCTTCTCTGGTAACTCTAGCCGGTCATATAGAGTGTTCTGCCCGCCACCGCATATTCAGAAAAAGAGGGAGCGGGGAAGGAAGAACAACCGTTTGACTTTGGCACATGAGGTGGCGGGTTTGGCTAGGTAACATAATGGAAATGTATTGGACTGCAAATCCTGAAATGATAGTCCGACCCTGTCCTTGGCCTCGGAGAGTGGCGAGCAGCACGGAACTTTAAATAATCAAATGGCATAACATAATGGGGCTTTCCTTTGATCCATAGACAACATTCTGGAACTTACAAACCAAAGAAATGCAACATGAGAAGGACTTGTTACGCTTCAATAGAATGAATTCAGTAAGGGTAGAATACGCCCTATGGTCGATCGAAGGTCCTGTGCCACTTGAACTCAAATCTATGTTATCTTCAATCCATCTTTGTCCAGCCAACTTATAACAAAATGTTAGACCGGGGGCTAACACAACTGAATTGGTTGAGGAAAAGGAAACCCCAGCGACCAAGCATTCCCGCCCCCAAAAGCGGAGACCGAACAACTGCCAAGTTGACGATGACACGTCTGAAGAGGAGGCGAGCGCGTAAAGGTGTATAATTTTTGAGAAATTATATTTGAACCTACTAAATTCATTAACGTCCCCACCAAATTATCATTATGTTTATTACAATTGTAACCTATATTAAAATTACACTAAAACCCACTAATATACCCCCATATTAACTATAAATAAAAATAATATTTTTTCACATTAGTAAAAAATATACACCCACATAAACTATAATTAAAAAATATTTTTCAAAAGAATAAAAATATCCCACATCTTTAGTTACTCTAATTTCGTCTTCATAAGAGATTCTTAGGATCCGTTCACTTCGCTGATTCGAATTTGTAATTCGAGTTGAGATGTGATTTTATGTGAGAGTTTTTTACTGTAGCAAAAAAATTAGATGTGATTGTTTATGAGAGCTTTTTACTGTAGTAAAACTCGAATTCTAAACTCGAATTAGTGAAGTGAACGGGACCTTACTATGTCGTGATTTGTTCTTTTGTGATTCTGTTTTACTGAAATGCGATAAAAAAAAATATTATTGCATATTTGTTTAAAGATTCATCGGCAATGTGGACACTCAGAAGCTAATAACTAAAAACGTGTAGAACTATATTGAATAAAAGCAAAAAAATAAAAATAAAAAAAGTAAAAATCACTGAATAAAACTATAACCCATTGAACACGATAAAAAAAGAACACAATATCTATTATATAATAAAAGTGTGTTAAAGCAAGCAGGTTTCTTTGATTTTTTTTTTTTTTTCCCATTTTTGCCATACTTCTATTTTTCCTTGTTTGTTTTCTGTTGTTTGTATGCTTCCTGTGGCTATCATTTGGTGGTCAAATTCTTGGCACGCAAGAATAAATCTAATTGAGTATTGTAATTAATTACTCTCTGCAATTTCCTATGACGAATGCTCTATGAGAATTAAGGCAGTAACTAGATATAATAAAAGCGTGATAAAGCAGACAATTGTCATGGAATTTTTTTTATTTATGTCCCTCATATTTTTTATTTTTCACTTATTACCTACTCTTTTTTCTTACTTCAAATTTAAGAAAAAGTAATTAATTTTTATTTTTATTATACCTTTCACTTTTTGTACTTTTTACTTGTTATTTACGTTTTTCTATTTTATTTTTTTTCTATTTATACTATTTACATTTTCTACTTTTCACTTATTTATTGCCTACTCTTTTCTCTTATTTCAAATTTAAGGAAAAGTGGTTAATTTTGTTTCTAATTATGCCATTCACTTTTATACTTTTTACTTACTTATTATTTAGGTTTTTCTCTTACTTAAAGTTTAAGAAGAAGGGTTTAATTTATATTTTCATTTATACCCTTTACTTTATACATTTACGCTTTTTATCTTTTATTCTTTTACTTACTTTTTATACCCTCTTTCCTCTTATTTACAATTTAAGAAAAAAAAATTAATTTTTTTTTTTCAATTATTCCCTTTACCTCGTGTACTTTTTACTTTTTATTTCCATAAAAGTTGGTGTCTGCACGTTGTTGACATTATAATTATTATTCAAACCCAGCTTGACCAATATCCATCAATCGTGCCACTATACAAGCCTCTCCATCATATTAGCAATAATAAATGACAATGATTTGTACTAATAATTAAATTGATACAACTCAAACAAGACAACTTGGCTACCAAGTAATCTCCTTGGCTACCAAGAAACCACCTTGGCACTAGAAGAAATAATATAAATTATTCACAAGGAAACGAAATATATATTCTCTAATCACATGCAACAGATTGCCAAACACATAGAGAGATCATGGAAAAACAGGGAAATTTAGAGCTCAACATCTCAAACTTGCCAAAGAAGTGCATTTCCCACATTCTTTCGCTTACCTCTCCTCGGGACGCGTGCAGATGCACCGCAGTCTCCACCAAGTTTTGCTCCGCCGCAGAATCCGACGTGGTTTGGGAGAAGTTCTTGCCGCCCTGTTGGGAGTACATTGTGTCCAGATCGGTTTCTCCATTGGTGTTTTCCTCCAAGAAAGAGCTTTACTTTCGTCTCTGTCACTCTCCAGTCCTTGTAGATGGAACTAAGAACAAGGTATTTTCACTCGGATTGTATTCTTTAATTAACTGCCACCATTTTGGTATTTGTAGTTTTCTTAAGAAGAGTTGACAACAATTTTAGAGCGCGAGATCTAAGATGAAAGCTTAGCAACTTCAACCAAACATAAAGTGAAACGGTATAAACAGATTTATAGGCAAATCATCAGCACATAGTTTGGCCGATCATCATCAGTCACATAGTTTTTTTTTTTTTTTTTTAAAGAATTATTTACTATTTTATACCCTACATTTTAAGTTTATTAAAAAGATATACCATGAATTTGGACGTTTCCAACATTGTGCCGTTATATTTTAATTTCATTTTTATCAAATTTATGTCTTATCTTTGATCAAACGATGATTTTGACCGCCTAAATGACACTTGAATAGCAATCTCTAAAAATCAAAGTCATCATCAAGTGGTTAACACTTGTAGTTCTTCAAGATAAGGTATGGATATCTGATACGAAATTGAAATTCCAAGGTACAATGTTGATAACATTATGCAACCTATTAAAAATTAAAAACCTTTTTTTTTTGTATGTTCAATTCTAATGTTATTATTTTTGGCTGACCAGAGTTTTGTATTAGACAAAATTAGTGCCAAAATATGTTGTATGTTCGGACCCGGGGACCTATCCATGTCATGGGATCAATATAGTCTCCGTGTAGACCAAAATGCTTTGGGTCCAGTGTTTTTCCGAGTACCCAACTACAAACCAGTTACTTCAAGGTAAATATTTTTTTTTAAAAAGGATATTGTTAGAAAAACTTGTGATCTCAACTTTTAATATGAAACTGATGATACATGTGAGTTGTCACGTTATACAGATTTTCAGAGATGACATACATATACGACATAGCACAACTTTTGATCCAAGTGAGGGTAAACCGACGGTTGCTATCCCCAAACACACACTATGTTGCCCACTTTGTTTACACACCGCGGTTCAACGACATTGAGTTCCCTCCATTACAGCGAGTATCGGTCAGATATGTTGAAGAAGGAATCGAGAAAGTTGTAATGAGCGATGCTTATTTAGATGATGATTTTCTCTCGCGTGAAAATGAGGGATTCCATTCTCGAGATCGAGATGACGGTTGGACAGAAATGGAGATGGGGGAATTCTTCAATGGTGATGATCATGATGATGATAATGTGGTGGCCATCTCCTTGTGGGAAGTAAGCGGACCTTATATAAGGATGCTGCGTAATGGACTTATTGTTCAAGGCATTGAGCTTCGGCCAAAGGTGGTTGTATAAGGAAAATTGTGATGAATATTTGTTTTGTACACTTCCGTTCAGCTTATAGGTTATATATTTGTGAGAAGAAAAAAAATATAATGTGGTAAAAGGATTTGAATTGTGGTTTAAACCTGCGAGACAAAGGTTTTAAGTCATTCATAAAAGAAAAATGTTTCAATTTTTTTTTACTAGTAATATGTGTATTCTCTCCTTAAAAAGTGAATAAGTTTGTTGGGGTGTTTCATTGCCCCGTTTCGTTGCCCCTTTAGTTTTTTTAACCTTTTTCTTTTAATTTTTTTTTTCCTTTTTTTCCCTCTTCCTCCCTTATCGTTTTCTATTACCTCTTATAACCTTTAATTTTTATATATTTTTCAACATATCTCATTTACATATTTTTCAACATATCTCATTTAAATATTTTTCAACATATCTTATTTAAATATTTTTCTTACGGTTATTTAAAATATTATTTTTTTCTAAAGAAACTTTTTTGGTATGCTAACATATCGTTAGGCTAGGTTTTTTATCCGTCATATCTATATAAAATCACGTAAAAGTTAAAAAGTGTGCAGATGTAACGGTTAGAAAAACCTCACTTATCAATACGACAAGTGTACCATAGATTCTCCCTTTTTTTATTACCCTGTTAAATTAATTTATTCTTAAATGTGTCCATGTATAAATATTTTTTTTTACGTATGATCCTCATAAATTTTAGCTTCAATTGCGAAACATTTCAAACAAGTTTTTTCTTAAGTTTTTTTTTGTCTTTTTTCCTGTCTTTTGCTTTGTTTTTTTTCCCAACTATGTCTTTAACACTACAAGAAAAGAGAGATATAGTGACGACAATAGTCGTCGCTAAAAGACCCGAAATCATCGCTAAAATTCTTTTAGGTCGTCACGAAAACATTGTCGTTAAATCTTCCTCGCTAATAGTTTTTTAACGACGACAGATGTTAGCGACGACTTGTCGTCGCTATTTCCAAATCATAGGTAATGATTGAAAGTGACGTCAGCGGTAATGATCGAAAGTGACCTCGCAAAAAGTTTTGAATTTGGGCAACTTCTGTTCAAATTTTAAATTTGTAAAACCCTGTAGCGACGACATTATCGTTGCTAAAATTTTTTCATCTTGATAAATAGCGATGACATTGTCATCGCTATATCTTTTTTTTTTTTTTTTTTTTTTTTTTTTTTTTTTTTTTTTTGCAGCTTACTTATTAATTTAATCAGAAATTAGGGGTTTTTTAAAATTTGAATTAAATTAAAATAAAAATATGAAATAAACTGTAATAATTAAATAATTTATTGAAATTTAATTAGATGATAGAGATGACAAATAATTAAAAACTGGGAAATAATAGTACTAATAATAACATTCAGATAACAAAGCAAAAAGATAAAACATACATATTAAAATGTCTAACAATAAATAAAGACAGTACAAATATGACAAGAGACTATAATAAGAGCCTAATCCCCTAAGTTAACATTTTCTCCATCTTCTGCTTCATCTTCATCATCTTCTTCATCGGTCCTAGGAAGCACAATTCTTGGCGTGGGTGGAATGACAGTGCGTTGAACTCCAGGTCTTAACTCCATCATCTCCTTGACCAACTCCATATGACTGGCGTGCAAACTCGAAAGCCACTACTGCATATCTAGAGCTAAACCTGCAGTAGGCATTCCGGACTATGATCTTAAGGAGGAAGAAGCAAAAGATTAACGTTGCTATGTCATTTTAGGTCCCACTCCCAGGTGGTGACCCCTACGGTTCTCAAGAACATTCTCAAAAATGGCAATCACATCGACGTTACCAATCTTATCGCGTGACGCAAGTACGATTTTTGGTGACTGTGTACTACAACCTGAGTAGAATGTAGGCCACCAAATTAAAATAATTTAGACTAGAGCAAACTTATTTACATATTTTTCATTATTTGTCAACTTTTCAATATTATTATTTAATCTTATCAAGTTTTATTTAGTCTTATCTGTTAGTAATTACTGGCATATTTTATGAATTCTTAAATTATTAAATTAATGACATTATCAAAATTATCATTTTTCACTTTTTATAACTTAATCAATGAGTTAGTTACGAACATTATTAATTTCATAAATTAATTATTAATTTTCTTTAATTATTTATTACTTTACTTATTTAATAAATTAATGACATTATTCACATTCTATTTATATTACTTCTAACTCATTTATTATCTTACAATTATTATAATTTATTCTATATTTTTACTTACATCATATTAATTAATTTATTAATTATATTAACAAATTATTTAAATTATTTATGAATTAATTTTGAAATTATTAAAATTAACATTTTTTACTTTATATTTAAACATTTAATTTTTTCTTGGTAGAATTTAAACATTTAATTATTAATTTATTGATATTACTACAACTTAATTATTTTTTACTTCTTTAATTTTTCCATAAACTCAATTATTTACTCTTATTACAATTTTATCGTTTCTTCAATATTTCTACCTCGAAAATTCACTCACTAACTACTTAATTTTTCCTAAACCATATACTAACTTAATAACCATATTACACAAATTAACAACATAATTAATAATAATCATCTAAACTAACATAATCTCAAAAAACTCAAATCAACTTCAAAATCACACCCACATATTCAACAATCCCAAACTTATTCAAACCAAGAAACCATATTCATATTCAAAAAATTAAACAACAAATATATTCAAATCTCTACCAAACAACATATTCAACCAAACCAATTATCAATATTTTTCTATTTTTAAACCAAACCAAACAACATATTCAACAATATATTCAACCAAATCAAACAACATATTCAACTACATTTTCAATTAAACCAAACAACATATTCAAAACTAATTAAGAAAAAAAATAAAACTAAAAAATTACTCACATTAAATCACCACAAAATCGGGGTGATCTTATTAAAGGAGGAGGTTCGTGACGGTGGCAGACGGAACCGACGGCGGTGGAGCAGTGGCCGGAGCAACAAAGGGAGAGGTGGTTTTGGGGTTTTTTTTTTTTTTTTTTTTTTTTTTTTTGAGAGAGAGTTGTGTGTACGCGAAATTACTTTTGCTTAGAATTTAGTGTGTGCTCGCAAGTGTACGAATCGCGAAGTAATAATGATCCGAAGATCGAGTATCGTCCTCTGGGATTCTTAACTAGGAAAGAGCTAAGTATTGCTATTAATCTAAAGCAATTTTATCTAGACAATATAGAATAAGGGAATTAAAACTAAATTGAACAACTTAACTAACTAAAAAAATGCAAACAACGGATGCAAAAGTGAATTGGATTGAAGGGATCTCTGTGATAAAATGAGCTAGGAGGGGATTTGACTTCACCTAATTATGCTATATTTATCTAAATCTGTCACTTATTGATGTGTTACACCCAATCCTAAATCATGGGTACTAAGATAATCTCACTCCCTCTTCCGAGTGCTAAGTGAAATAATATGCTAAATTAATTAAACTAATATCCCTATTAATTTAACCAATTATGGATTGTTTAGCCCATATTCGATCTCCTAAGGTTATACCACCCTCCCGACTCAATATCTCCTTAGGTTGCGTCTCTTAATTCTCAACGTATGTAATTAACTCTCCCGAGCCTAATTTCATACATCTAGGGTCTCTAATCTAATGGGTAATTAAATTAGAAATTAAGCACAAGAGACACAAAAGATTGGAATATAAAACATTCAACACAAACAGATTTTGTAAAATACAACTTTCATTAAATTAGATCAAACCCCCCTAGCGTGAGGAATTTAGCTATCCATGTTCAAAATCAAATACACAATTACAAAATACCAAAGATCCATAGTTCAAGCAGAAAATTAAACAACAATTCAAGAAATACAAAGGGAGAAAGTAATGAAGAACTCCTGTTGGATAATCTCCTCTGAAGCCTTCAAACTGCCTTGAATCCCCTTGAAAATCTCCAGAAAAATCCTTGGTTACAGTTGCTTTCCTTTAGTTCTAGGGTTCTTGCCGTGTCTCTAGTTCAATTCCCACTCTCCGTGTCCAGCCCCCTTCCAGCAACTTTCTTTTCCTTTTATATCACCTCCCAAATGTGCACAACTCTCCAAATTTGAGATAGGCACACTGCAGCCCATGGATGTGCGATACAGCGTGCGTCAACGAGGACTAGGATTTTCCAGACGTGCGCCTAAGCCCATGGATGTGCGCTTCAGCGCGCGTCATATGGCTGGCTGCAAGGCGCGCTGTAGCGCCCTTTGGGGCGCTGCCGCCTGAAGCTGGAATGCTCTTTGGAATGCTCTCTAGAATTCTTTCTTAGAATGCTCTCTGGAAGTCTCAGGCTGGCTTGCTCCTAGTGCGCTGCAGCCCACACAAATGGAGATTTTCATGGACTTCTGTATCTTTTTCACTCGATTTTCTCCACTTTGTAAATCCTACAAAACAGATTAACGTAAACATAAAACTAGTGACAAATTAACTGAAATTTGCTCAAAAGTTACAATATATGAAGGGGATAAATTGATGAAAAATCAACTTATCATTGTGATAGAGAGAAAGCGAGCTAAAAAGAGAGGGAGAGTTAAGGAAAGTGGTGGCTGGTGAGAGGGGCGGCCGAAGATACGGCCGACGATGGTGGACGGCTCAGCTGGAGAAGAGGTTGCCGGAGGGAGGGGGAGAGAGAGTAGAGCAGAAGAGAGAGAGAGAGAGAGAGAGAGAGAGGTGAGGAAAAAAGGGGGAAAGAATCGGGACTGGGTAGTTTTAATAAGGTTTTTAGCCATGACATTTGTTGTTGCTAACAATAAATGGTCATCGCTATATGATGACAACATAACGACATTTAATTAAAATATTAAAACTTAATGATATAGCGACGATAAAACTTTTACCGACAAAATGTATGAAAGATACCTTCCATGAGCCAAATTTCACCGCATATTTTTCGGTGAAATTTTGTATTTCGTAGGATTTAACGTGACTTTTGTCGTCCCTACACAATTACTGACAACATTAGGTGCGTAGAAATATTTTGTAGCACCAAAATTATTAAATTCCCGCACATAATGGGTCACCCCACTTTTAACGACGACCTTGTCATCGCTAAATGCCTATTTTTGGCACTAATCAAAACCGCATAAAATTTTGCTGACATCATGAACGTATTAGCAACGACAATCTACTCCACCTCAGAAGCCTCCTCAACATTTCTGATGACAATATTTAGCGGTGACGTTATTCATTATTAGTGACGACAATTATCGTTGTTAAAGGTGCCGTCGCTAAACATGCTCTTTCTAATAGTGTTTATTTCTTTTTTCTTTCTTTTTTTTCTTGACAACTTGTATAACTATTATTTTAAATAAATCACGTGTTTGAAGCACGCTTTTATGACTAGTATATACACATATATATTGCCAAGAACGATTTGCAATATTTAGTATCTGGAGGCCAACTATATATATTTCCTTCAAAAAAAAGAAACATAATAAAAGAAAAGTCAACAGTTCTTTAGAAATTGACTCATACATATCCGTCTATTGTGTAGATAAACTTTGAGAAGCGAAACAAATTATATATCCTGTTAGGCAGGCTATAAAATGATCAGACAAGAAAAGACCACGATAGATCTAGTTGTGGATGAAGTTATTCCAAATATTATAGGCTATTATTATACATCAAAAAAAAAAAAAAAAAAAAAGAAAGCTAGGGGTTTCAGTTGTTGATCCGAGTTCAAAGTGGGTTGTTTACTGTTTATGATATTTTTGTTTGGTGTTTAGGCATGCCTAATAACTCGAGAAATTAGAGTGCGCTCTGCCATGCTAAAATCAGGATATGTGCTAAATCTAAGGTCTATTTGAAGAAAAATGAATTAAAAAGGGCTGAGTTATGTTATAAGTTCTCGTGGTGTGATTTCAGGAAGTTGAAGCAAAATGTTGTAGCATTTTGCCGCAACAAAACTAGCAACAGCAACATTTGTGGATGACATTAGCGTGCACATTTGTGATGGAAAAAGACAAAAGTACACGAAGGGAGGATGCTATGCAGAGTTATTTAGACCCAACCACTCACTGAGTGACAGCTCAACGTCCTTTGGTGCTCTAATGAAGAGTACATCCATTTTAAAAGAGTGCCGCACCAATGAAAAGGGGAGAGAAAAAAAAAAGAAAAAAAAGAGAGCACCATAGAGACAGAGAGGAAGCAGGGAGCTACTGGAGAAAGTCTACCGAAAGAAGGAGGAATCGAGAGATTCAAGCTCCAAATAAGCTAAAATCTCTTTTATCTCTCTATTGTCCTCAACTTCTTTGTTTTTGAATTGTGATCTTTATTGAAAACTGAATTATTCTGGGAACTTGGTTTTTGTAAAATTGGCCATGAACTAAGTTGTTCTTAGCTAGGATTGTTAATAAAACTAAAGTTGTAAGAAAGATAGTTTGCTTCTAGAATGTTTACTGATTTTATTCTTGTTCAATCATGTGTGTTGATTGATTATTTCTATTCTTGATTGGTGATCAATTATAGGATACTAGACTAAGATTAATACTTGAAATGTTGATTTTAGTTGGATCTAACATGGATGATGCAAATTCAATACTTTTGTTTGAGTTTATTGATTTGTGAATGGTATAGGAATATATTGTTCATCTTGTATAACCTAGAGAAACAGGTATTAAAAATTGCATTCTGATAACTAGATTCACATAGGAATATGTTGAAAATGGTTTGAAGAATTTTTAATCATAATAATTCGGAAGAATTTTATGCATCAAACTAAATTTTGGTTAACAGGTGTAATTTATGCTATAGCATTCCTACATCAATTACTGTTAAACTTACAATTGAGGAGAAATTAGTAATCCTGGCCTATTTAAATCACTGGTTATGCTCTGTACTTGTACTCTAGTGCTCTTGCCACCTTTTTGCTTGCATTTGAAACTGTTTTTCTTCATTTTATATTATTGTAGTGAGTTTTAGTAAATTAACTTTCTTTACTTAATTTGGTGTTCGACATGATTTCTACATTATACAATTGGTGAATCAATCTTCGTGGGAATGATATCCGTACTCAGTATACTTTATTACTTATTTGCGACATGTATACTTGCATAGTCTTTAGTTTAAAAGAAGTGTAAGGCCCATGATACCTTAAATTAGAGTTCCTTACCCACACACGTCTAGAAAATTTATTTTACACATTAATCTTTGCTTTAGGTGTCCTTCTTGTGAATGCAGAATTTGGTGGATTAATGATCATGCCTCTTTTTAAGGCATTTAAGTATTTGTAACATCTAGGTCTAATGTGGCTAGGCAAATTACAATAGTGACAGATAGGAACAAATCTATCTGTTGCTTGTCTTGTTACAACAGGCTTTGCAACAAACTTCTTGTATGATCTTACCTGAGATTTCTTAAAGGACTGCATCATAGTATTGGTGGCTCCTTTCACAAAGACAGTCTTCTCAGAAATTTCTTGACCCTTGTAGCCAAGGCCTGAATGATCACCACAAGTTTTTTATTATGAGAGTATGTGATCAAATTTTGCAGTGCCCGAGTTTAGCATCCTTAAATTCTTCTGGGTCTGCTCCAATTCAATTCTGGTCTCAGCAACCTTTCTATGATGCTTTGTTGCCAAGATTTCATAATTTGTTGTAGCCTTCTTCAACTCATCTCTTTCCTTTGTTAAGACAGCAACTTCATCTTCAAGTGATTTATTTTGTTTGCAAACAACAAGCCACTTGCTGTACATCTTCTTATAAGCCTCTTGAATTTTCTCAAGACTTAGGTCATCATCGTCACTATCATCTTCAGTTTCATCCTCGAAATCTGTATCATCAACAACTCCACCAGAGGTTGTTGCAGATGCTGTTGCAACAAACTCTACAACAACATTATCAGTGCTAAACAAATTTTTATCCATGAATTCATTTCTTACAGTGAAAGCCACATAATTACTGTGTGATCATCTGCATCTCTTAACTTTCATCTGAATCATCACTCCATGTAGACGTCGTGGCAGCCTTATTTCTCTTCTTGAGAGTGTTTGCACACTCCGCTTGAATATGTCTAAATCCTTCACATTCTCGGCATTGTATTTCCTTATTTCTTTCATTCTCTTCAAACTGTTGAGAGTTAAAATTCTTCTTTTGAGAATTTCTATTCTTTGAATTCTCTCCAAATCTCCCTTTCTTGTTGATCTTTCTCAGCATTTTATTGAAGTTTTTGGTGAGTAAAGTAAGAGACTCACTCAAGTCCTCATCTTCGTTGGTCTCATCTTTGGTGGACATATCATCATAATCTGCTTGAAGAGCAATTCCTCTACTTTTCCTTTTATCCTTAAAGTTCATCTCAAAGTTTTAAAGACTACCTATGAATTCATCAAGTCTCATCTTCTCAACATTTTTTACTTCTTCGATGGCTGTCACTTAGTAAGCGAAATGTGCCGGAAGTGACCTCAAGGTCTTTTCACCAATTTGGCGTCAGAATATTTTTCTCCAAGGGTGAAGGCTTTGTTAGCAATATCACAAAGCTTTGAGTTGAAATCGGCAATACACTCATCCTCTTCCATTCGTAAACGTTCAAAACGAGTTTTGAGGATTTGAAACTTTGAGGCCTTCACAACATCCATACCTTCATGTGCAGTTCGAAGAATATCCCAAGCTTCTTTTGTGGACTCACATGTGGAAATCAATTTGAATTGATTAACATCCACAACATTGAAAATGGCGTTCAATGCTTTTGAATTACTATTTGCTAGCTTGTCCTCATCGTTGGACCATTTCTCTTCTGGCTTAGGGATGGTATTGCCTTCATCATCTTTAGTTGTTGGATGAGTCCATCCGGTTAAGACTGATCGCCATGCCTTCTCATCAATAGCTTTAATGAAAGCTTTCATGCGAGCCTTCCAATAGGGGTAATTTACACCTTCCAGAAACAATGGTTTGATCACAGATCATCCTTCTCTCATGACATCCATTCCTGCAAAATTAACCAGTACACCAGGATTTCACCAAAATATACGTCAGTGACCCACTCTGATACCAATTGTTGGTACCGGTTTGAGTCTCTTAATACTTTGTAAGACAATACAAATAATGCAGAAACGTAAAATAAAAGAACACGAGAGAAATGGTATTTCGGTTCGGTCACAACTTACTCCGCGGGGCCATACCAAAATGATGAACAATCTGTTAGCGTTTATGCCCTTAGGAATAAATGTAACAATATTCTTTGAGATATTTTGACTATTAATAAAGATTTGTTTATTTTATATATCTATGAATTGTCCTCTTTATGTTCATAATAGTTGAATGTATGATAAGCAAACTGAAAGTCTGAGATTGTCATTCTAAATCTTTAGGTCATGCATGTAATGTGAAGAACATGCGGAAGACAAGAATCTAAAGATGATAGTCTAAATCTTATGATCCATAATCGAGGGAATAAAGTTGGGCGCTTTATTCATGTTAAGATTGTTATGTTGTCTACTTCCTAACGGAGACGGCTTGTCTTGGTCGTCGGAGGTGGGACTCCATAGGTGTAGACATTGATATAGTTTCTAATGGTGAAATCTATATTGGATCGGACCAAAGTTGAATTGTTTTAATTAATAACTCTGTTTGAATAAAATAATTCACTTTTGACGAATTATATGTTGTCATCTTAATCCTGAGATGGATGATGAACCTGTATACTTAACTTGTATCCTTTGATGTACTAAAGGGAGACATCCTGACATTATGTAAAGGTACGCTTGCCGGTACATTGGGGGTATGACTCGTGTATGCGTAGATTCGTTATTCATAGATAGTGGAATCCATAGCTCCTATAAAGAGTCAATGATATCCTCTTATGCATTATCAGTG